AAACTTCTTTTTTTTCTTTTTCTTTCTTTCTTTCTTTCTTTCTTTTTTTTTTTTCTTGGTTCCCTTCTACATCTACAAATCAAGTTTCCGCCCCTCCTTTCTTAAGACGAGGAAATTTGGAAAAGGGAAAAGAAGAAGGGGGGAGGAAAAGGGACGGAAAAGTCTCACATTGGCACAACCGCAAACGGCACCGTGATGGGCATTCCCACAACACACCACATCAATCTCCGTCTATGCAGCCCATCTCGCTCACTGCCCATCCTCCGCACCACCTCCTCCGCCTGAGCCTCCGACATGACACTCCGCGGGAACACCAGCTCGACGTGCTCCTCCTGCTCCTCCTGCTCCCCCCGGCCCTGCATGTTCGCCTCGCTCTCTCCGCTTCGCTGCCGCCGCCGTCGGGGACTACTCGACAGCGGCGGCACCGACTTGAGGCCCCATTCCTCGTACGGGATGCGCCGAAACACATGGTTCCCGTACTCGACCACCTTCTTCTGCCACCCCGACTCTTGATTCTCCCACTCGGACCACTTGCGCGCCGCCCAGGCGGCTCCGCGATCAATGTACGAGGCGTCAGCCGGGGCGTTGGCGCGGTGCAAGCGCTGCGCGTAGAGGAAGCTGCGCCGTGTGGAAAGCGGCAGCAGGAAGAGACGCATTTTGTCCATGGGTAAGAACACGCACAGAAAATGAAACAGAATAGAAAAGAAATGTTGTGGGAAAAGTCGTAGGAAATTTTTCAATAAACTCTCGACTCCGAGACCGCGGAATTGACCCGAGAGGAGGAATACTAGTGCGAGAGACGGGAGGCCGCTGGACTGGGGTGCGAGGGGCGTCGTCACGCAGAAAAGGCGCGGTTCTGCGATGAAGTGACTCAAGTGAGTGGCCAGACAAACAGACAGACAGACAGACAGACAGATAGACAGGGGTCGGAGACCAAAACTACTCCTCCATCGTCCAGTGGTCCGATGAGAAAGAAGCAACAGGCGCGCGAGGACGGCAGGGCGAGTGGATTCCCCTCCTGGGAGAAAAGCACAGAAACGCCGCGGAGCGTGGGGGATTCGGAGACGATAAAAAGAGGAAAGGGCAGACAAAAGAGAACGACGACAAATTTCGCTGAAGGCCCGAGTCGAAAAAAAGTCGACTCCATTGATGATCGTTGCAGATCATGACGCACATGCCGGGATGCTAGCTGTCATCACGTGCCGACGAGGTACCAGGTATCGTGCATTTCCCTTTTCGCCTCCAGATACTCCAGATAAAGCTCCCTTGCATGACAACGTGAGTTTTGGTATTTATACAAATTCCCGTCCTCGATGCATGATGGACAAGGCGCTGGTACAACAGGCAGCATTTTGACCTCTGCGACCGGCACACAAGGCATGGTCCTAACAAAGGCTCGAACCTCAGATGCGAAAATGTCCTTTGGTCATTGAGCGCAGGGTAGCACCTTGAAGATGGCGTGGAAACAACGGGCAAGCACAGCGCGAAGAACATGGGTTAATGTGCCGCACTATCTTGGCATATATAGTGCGCAATAATGCCTGTTCACACAACAACACGGGGCGAATGGTTTAGTGGTATAATACTCCCTTAGCATGGTCCAAACATCTGGGAGTGGTCCAGGGTTCGATTCCCTGTTCGTCCATCGCGGTGGTATCAAGTCCATCATCATGCCATACTTTTTTCTTTTGTCCAATCCGCAATTGAACCAATTTCTTTTTATCGATTTCCTTTTCCAATGAAAAGGGCACCCAATCGGACATTGCACATGCTCTGCTGTTAGAGACAATATCTTTTTAAATATTCATTGTTTTTAAAACAGCAAGGCACTATTCATTCATCAGACGCAATACCTTTTCTTCGTATCTGGAAAAGTGTTAGCGCACCTTTATACATTGTACATGTTCTGCCATCGGAGGCAACACCTTTTTATTCTTTCTAGGTACCCAAATATTTCAGAGCAGAACCTTTCTATACACTATACGTCATCGACCTACTGTCATGAATTTCCAGCCTGTACTTGATTGTATTTGAATTCAAAAATGCACGGATGAGTGCCTTGTAATGCCTCTATCCGGGTTGTATCGATGCGCCATACTTGGTCACTTACCACCCACCTACTACCTACCTACCCACCAACCTAGTTCCATTTCCCAGGCACGGAGAAGGTCAAATAGCAGTATTCCCATGTACAAACACACAATGATTGAATTCCAGGCTGCAAATCGTGGAAAAATGTCCATTCGCACGCCAAGTACTTACCCGCAACCCAGACGCGACAGCAAGGACCTACAAGCATGATCAACCACACGCAACTGAGCCACGCAGAATGCAAAATCTTTGTATTAATAAATAGTATATGTCGGTCTATCGTGAATGAAAAGAAGGCTCTCATAGGAAAATGTACAGTACATCTATATTTTACTCCACCACAGCTGTCACGACTGTGGATTCTTACCAAGACGACTCGCGCTGCCTTTGCCCACAATCATCTTTTCTGCCCACTTCCACGAGGAGGGACTGAGAACGGGTGACCTCAACGGTGGTGATGCTTCTCCAGCGGATCCCTTTGACGACTGCTGCTGCTGCTGCTGCTGCTGCCGCTGCTCGTGCCCGGCTTGTTGTCCATGACAGTGCGCCTCGACTTCGCTGTCGTTATCGGTATCGGCCCAGTCTCGGTCGCTCCATGTCATGGAATCGGCTCGGTCCCGTGCGTCCAGTCGTGGACGTCCGTTTGCCAGGCAGTCGCCGTCATTCTTCTGATTCGTGGACATGCCCGGCAGCTCTGGCAGCTCGTCCATGGCTTCCTCGCGTGCTTCATTCGTGTCTCCATCGTCTCTCTGAGGCTGGTGCAGGCGGCGTACTTCCCGACCATCGGCGGCTGGTCCTTGATGAGCCTCAAAGGCTCGTTCCGTGTTGGGCTCTTCTTCATCTCGAAGGCGTGCCGTCTCGGAATCGCTAAAGTGAGCATCGACCAAGTGCTTGATCACGGGCCACCCATGCGCATTGGCAAACTTGCGTCTCACAATCATGTTGTTGTGTGCATCCGGCTCCAACTTGACCAGCACCTTGCGCCACGAGAGATCCCGATGATAGCCTCGTGCAATCTTTTCTTCTACCCTCATGCTGGAGGCGTCACCGGTGTCCGAAGCCCCGTCGGCCCTGTTCCTATTCTCGTTGCCATAGTCCTTGCTTGCTGGGTCCGCTGTTGAATCCTCCTGCGAATTTACGGATGCGTATGGGGACGACGAAGCTCTGTCGGAGACCGATGCTAGTGACGAGATGGAGGACTTGCCGGAAATCTTACTTCGACGACCAAAAGTCGACTGGCGCTTCCTCAACGGTGGCGGCGGAATATCACTGGGATGATATACCCGGTCGTGGAAGATTGTTCTCGGTCTCCTGGACGGATCAATTAAATACTCGATGCTTGGTATACTGGGATTGAGCACGTCGCCTGCTGATTCGAAGAATGTCGTCTTTGGGGGTGCCAACATGCCATCGGCGTATCCGTCCACCTCATGCCCAGAGGTGACCTTGCTCATTTGTGGTTGCTGCTGTTGTTGCTGTTGCTGCTGCTGCTGCTGCTGCTTCATGTCAGAAACGTCGCTGGAACTTGAGGTGGTCGTGTCAGAGCTGCCGAGAGGAATGGTTTGTCCTCGGCGCAAAATCTTTTTTTGCTTGGCAGTTGTCACCTGGGGCTTGGGCGGATCACGGCTCCTAAACAGACCAAAGAAGCTGGCCAAAGGGGAATGGATGCCTGAGCCATTACTATTATCATCATCATCATTGTTCTTGTTGTTGCTGTTGCTGCTGCTGCCATCGTCAAAAACAGGCTCAACCTCGCCGCTCAAAGGTCGCGGCACAGAACTGATGCTGGCCCGATCATCCTCATGCATCGCTTCACTCGAGGGCTGCGGGACTTGCCGCATGCTTCCCTTGGGAGAACCTTTGGAAGTAGTGGTGCTGGATTCGTCGTCTTGTTGCTCCTCCGCCAAGGTGAGTTGCTGCTGTCTCGATCTCGATGACGCCATGTTCGTGCCAGTCAGTTCTGCCCATCCAAACCCAACGACCGTCTCTACCAAGCCTGCATCTCTTCGAGCCTTTTCTACGCGGCCAAGACCTTGCCAATCGAGAAATAGAAGACAGCTTGTACGCAGCGGCACGATTCCATCATTGACCACGTTAGAGTACACCGTGCGGTTCCGGAACTTCTTCAGGGCCGTATGCGCGGGCCCCGTCGGCAAGATGCGTAATAGGGGTTTCGACTCGGGTTGTGATTCACCATACACCTTCTTGTGTGCGGACTCTCCGAGGTTGCTCACAAGAGCCCCCCATCCACTTCGAGCAATGGTCGGCGCTCTCCAGGTCAGTCCAAGATCTTGTCCGGTCCTGCCCACGAGTCCAAAGTCAAGAGCAAACTTGACATAAAGCGGATTTTCGTTGCTCAACCCCAGAAAAGGGGTCGCCAGGGCAATGAAATTAATGGGTCGTATCATGTCGAAGAACTTGGGCGAGTGTTTCTGGATGTAAGCAATAGCATATGTCTGAATCAAGCCGCCAAGTGAATGGCCGACGAAACTGATACTCGTGATTTGGTAACGTCTGCACAGTCGATCATGGTTCGCCTTGCCAGTATCGGCTCGAATATGACTATGCTTGTGGGTATCATTTTGGTCTTTTTGGCCGTGCTGATGTTGGTGCGCGTGATGCTGATTATGATGATGGTGTCGGCAATCGCATTTCATAGCTTCATCATGACCCTCACCGGTGCCGCCTACGCCACCTTTACCGCTCGGAAGAAAAGGTTGGTCCGGATATGTCATTGACAGAATGTACCGCGATAGTCTCTTCCCAAGGTACTTGATTCCTTTCTCCGTCTTTGTGGCGTTTCCAGGGTATCCGCGAACGATGACCTCTTCGTCGTCGTCGTCGTCGTCGTCGTCGTCGTCATTGTCATTGTCGTCAGCTTGACCACTGTCATCGTGGTCGCCGCCGCTATCGCCGTTACTGCTTCTGCCATTAATCATGTCGTCCTGGCCTTCTTTCGACGAATCACCACGTGGTTTTTTGTCGGCTTTTGACTTTTTCGCAGCCCTTTCCTTTGCTCTTCTAGCCTTGGCATCTATACGTGCTTGCCTAGCGGCAGCATCAATGCTTTCCTTCATATAAAGCATGTCGGCGCCAAGGTTGCTGTGCAGACCATGCGTCAATATGACAAGATGGACCTTTTGTTTCTTGTCGCATGACGATTTTTGGAGTCGCTTCGGCTCTTCTGCCTCCGAGTCACCCGTCTTGACCATGCTTTCCACAGGCTGATCGGCTCCCGAGTCCTGTTTCGCCCTCTTGTGTCCGAGATCATCATCCCAGCTCGGAAGCCTAGGTGTGTTCCAAAGCGCCCCTGAATCCTCCACCTTGAGATGCACGGCCTTGGAGAAGACGCCCTTCGGCTGTGCGGGATGGTGCCCGTCCCTTGATCCGATACTCTGCTGGTGATCGGTCAGTTTGCCAGGTTGCGGAGCTTGGCTGACGTTGCCACCAACAAGAGACAGCGACTGGGTCAGATTGAGTGATTTCTGGTCGCGGGCCACGACGACTTCGAAGCCGACGGCAGCTGATGTGGAGAAGATGACTTGAGAAGCTATTTCAACCACCCAGGTCGCGGACACTCCATCGTGCTCAGGATCCTTTCCAAACGCTTGGTGACTTCTTCCCGTGCCGGCGTCTTGGCGAATGTTGTCGGGAACGAGCAGCTGGCACTCCCAGGATCCTCCTGCCTTGAGCATGGGCTCAAACTGGGGAGTTCCATACCGGCGGGGGTTGTTGAACTTCTCATTGGGGTTGAAGTGGGAAGGATATGCCGAAACGGACAGGGTATATGGACCGTGGACAAAGGCGGCGCGAAGGGCTATGGTGGAAGTATTTCGGATTCGGACGTATAGTTTTTCGGGGGAGGGGAGGATTCGATCCTGCGAGGGCGTGTATGTGACGGTGTATCGAATTACCTCGCCAATCTTGACACTCCCGGTTTGGTGCAGGAGGAGCATTTCTCCGACAAGCGTAGGCGCCAGGGATTTGATTGAGGGCCGTCCCGTCGTGAGAGAGGTGTGAAAATTGATGGCGAAAGAAAGAAGGAGGGAGAAGACGGCGCTACGAGGAGGGTTTTATGATGTCAAACTTGGCCGCGACGGTGCGAGCATCCTCGAGCACGTGGTCAAGACCAGTCCAAGTGCATGCACCGCAGAAGAAAGATACGGCGAGAAAGGAAGAGAACGGGGGGAAACGAGGGACGAGTGACAAGAAGAGCAGACGTGATGCAGTGCCTCTCATGTGTCGTACTTTGCAGGTATCAGGAGATTGATTTGTTGATAAGCTCAGGAAGAAGAAGAAGAAAAAAAAAGGGAGTAAACCAGGCAGGAGGGGTGCATGACATTGGCAGCAGCATGGGTGGCAGCATGGGTGGCAGCATGGGTGGCAGCATGGGGAGCTCCGGTCACATGCGCCTGCCCACTTCCGCTCCTGCCGCCGAGGGGAGCAATGTGAACCAAGCCCACCCACCAATGGGCGACCTCCCTCTTGCCTGCCAAACGTGAATGGCGGGGCAGCCGGCGGGGCGGCGGCCACCTGCGCATTTGGATGCATGAG